CTGAGAGTATAATAGCTTGCTTATTAGCTGTGATTTAGTAGGGAAACTGTTACCAGTTCAATAATCATTCAAAATTGAACAAGTATCAATTTTGTAAGTAACACCCACCATTTTGGGTTTTTTTCCGATAAAAAGATAAGTAATATCATTCACTGAATTATTTCTGTATGTTTTGAGTGAACCGTCGAGATTCACAACACGCTTCTTGCTGGTTCTTAATCCAGGTAGGCCGAAACACGGTCAAGTTGTATTCGCTAATATAGAATATTGCATGAAATATGTGTCAGTATGAATTAGTTGCGCATTATGACATGGATAATATAGTGTCTAATTGAGCATCATACACACAATTTGTGGCTGGATACAGCGCCGTCAGTTATAAAACCCAGAAAGGTTTGTCTTCTTATTTTATAGAAGTATTTTGGATGGAGGTGAGCAATAAACACATATTGACTGACACCATTCCGATACAAGTCCCTGTCCCCGCTAGCCAATAGAGGGCCCTGTCGCCCATGGCATTTTGCCTTTGGAGATAGAACCATCTTAAGCTCACTCACAATTCCTCGAGGCACATAGACGTGCACTAGTGCAGTACTTGAAATTTATGCCGAAAATGTTGTCACACAAAACTTACTGATATGATTATTTATAAGCTTTTGATAAGACATAGGCCTGTACCAAGGTCACTGAATAGAAACTCAAGCACTCAAGCACAAAACCTAGAGTAAAACTTCAACAGGATTTCGCTCTTATGGGGGTTTGTACCCTTACATTTCCTGTGGACATTTAGACATTCTGACCACATTTTGACTGTACAAATTCTAAATGCAGTTGGAAAATAATCAATGTCCAACCATAAATTCATGCTTTGCTTATGACCCTTGGCCAGTCCATATATGTGCATTGTTTTTTATTTAATGCACATATATGAGTGTTAAGCACAAGTGAACAAAGCTTAAGAAGATCAAATTAACCCTGCACCCAAACCGTTTTAGTTCTCTTTCCAGCTGTTCCCTCTCCACCGTAGTGTTTGGATGGTGCCCCTTAATTTGTGCATCCTCATTTTCTAGGGCAACATCATCTTGACCGACTCCGAGTACACCATCTTAAATCTTCTGAGGACACGAACAGACAGTGAGGATGTCCGGTTTGCTGTGCGAGAAACCTACCCAGTGGAAGCTGCCAAGAAATCAGAAGCACTTCCCGAACCCAACAGGTCTACAGTTGGAGTTTTGCAGTTGGCCTCCGTATTATAAATTTTACTTTGGGCGCTGGTGTCAAATTTTTGTAGCAATTCTTTATAAATAAATTTGAAAACAGTTTGACTACATGTGCAGTGTGTTTGTAAGATCAGGAAAAGGATATGCAAAAGCCAATCTTCTTTTGTATTTGTACATATATCTTACTCTCTCAAAATACCTGTTCTAGAAATCTTTGTTTTTGAGATTCTTTGATATGATATCAAATAAAAAGAAAAATTGAGCTCTCCACACAGTTGTTCATGTGATAAATTTATTCCTAAAATTCACACATGCAGGTTCGATCGAAGTTACTTCAGAACTTTCCAGAATGTATTACGCTGTCAGAAAACAGTCTTTAGGATGACTTGTGTCTGATGCCTTGTCTCTGTGTAAAGGCTGCTGTATACTTCAGATGAACACAAAAGCGACGCAAAGTTGATGTCACGAAAGATTCCGCTTGAGTTGAAATGCGTTCAACTGTTGGGAATTTGCAGTAAACTATTTGATCTGGCATCACTATTTCACATTTGTGTTTGCTTTTGCACCAAGCATGGACTGGCCCCCAGTGTCATTTTTGTTTGCGGATTAATTATTACCCTGTATTAGCACATTGTATCATCATACATGTAAATAAAGCATACATCCACATACAGTAGGGTCACTGTAATGTGGACTGGGACATTGGTCCCCAGATTGCTTAGACGTTATGCATCCACATAAATGTTAATCCTTATTCAAATTGATAAAATTTAAATAGATAAAAAATGAAACTTATTTTCGTGTACATGCCTGTGTGTAATTTACTGAATTTCATATTTTGTTTTCACTTGAAAGAGAACTTTTGTTTTCACTTGAAAGAGAACAAGGGTTTGCCAAAAAATTCGAAGTACATAAATACACTGCTTGCCACACACACACTCAGACTTGAGGTTTCAATCTTTTTAGTTTCACAAAACCCAGACTTGTTCTAATTTTATTCAGGGGCATATTTTTGGTATATTTGGTATGTACTTCCATCTATATACATTGTGTTTGTTTTTTTTTTTCTCTATTGTGCATTTTTTATTTCCATTAGGCTCCAAGAGATTTTAGCAACAGCCAAACCTGGGGATCCTATTCGCAAAATCCTCAATCCTCATTTTGGTGAGTTTAGTCACAGGACTTTTGGAAGGAAGTGACTGGAAAAGAAACCATGTCTATTCAGCGGTTGTCATAGCTGTCTTCAGCTGCTTTGTCATAAGCCAGTTCAGTATGTCAACAGCGCCTTCTCAAAATGAAGCTTGTAGGTCATTACAGATTATTAATATACATGTAAACGTGAGGTTGGCCCAATCAGCACGCTGGCATGCCTATTTAAATGCACTGGATTTGTGTGCACTGTCATGACAGGTATTTTGCTTTCAAATGACCTGCTTTATTGAAATACCTAACGGTTTAATTCCTTGCACATTCCCTGTTGCAAATGTCCTTGCTGACCCTCTCACAATATCAGTCTACCCTGAAAATTGTGTGAAGGGAAAAATCCTTCCCCAAATCATCTTTCCAAGTACCAGCAACACTTCAAACTCTCTTTTGAAATTGAGTGTTCAAGCTTGCTTCACTCGCTGTTTTGTTTTGAGAACTGAGGCCTGTCAGCAAAAGGATGTTAACAGTGACCAACGTCTCTTTGCTTGGCTTCTGTTTATATGTCAGTGTAAACTCAAACATCTCATCTTGATTTCACTCTTTTCCACCAGTTTTTGGTCCTGCAGTCATTGAGCATTGCTTGTTGCGACAAGGCTTCCCATCCGGCGTCCGACTGGACAAAGAATTCAGCCCAGAAACAGGTACAAAATGTAGAATAAACTCAGGTTCAAGTTCATTCTGCTTGCTTTTGATTAGTGGTAACAGCCTCGTTCTTGTTTTTTGGATGCAAACTTATGAGAGTATGCTTGTATGACTTTTGTATCAATTTGAGCCAAACTTAGTAGTTTCCACGCAAATCTGAAAAGAGAGGCGTTGATTGTTAGCTATTTGGCATCAATGCCATTTTTAGTTTGTTTTATATTTAAAGTGTGACCTCATAAACCTGACAGGGTTTATATGATTCAAAATCATGTTTTGTTGTTGTGTCAGCATAGGGAAGCCAACCGAGCACATAATGTCTTTCATTTGAATGCCCCCCTGAAGGCATTACAGACAATTTTAGAAAAAATTAAAACAGGTTTTCTTGTCTTACGAAACTGAAGTTAGATGCAATTGAGAATCAGCTTAGCCTGTTATCTGCGCACAATGTTCATACTTCAGCCAGGCATGCGGTTTGCATACGTCAACGTACATGTATTTGGGGAAGAGCTGAGCTACATGGAGGTGTATGGTTCATTCCACGACAATGAGACTGCAATAAAAGAAACACATGTATTGGTGGCACACTCTTTCTTTCAGCAACCCTTCAGGCCACTTGCCTCATATGCTGTTTCTTCAAGTGAGTGAGCTCCAGGGAATGTGTAGAGAGCTCCGAATACAGATCAGCCAAGCCATCAAAGTGGAACTTGCATGGAAAAGAACACATAAAGCGCATTTTTCTTCATGTTTGACTTGTTGGGGATCTCAAATGTGCCAGCATGCATCACTACAGTGCAGTTTTTAGTTGAAAATGCTGTGCAGACCGAGTGCTTATCAAACTCTTTTGAGAAAATCATAATGAATGACCCCTTTTTCAATTTACCATTAATCTTTTGAGTCTGTATTGTTGGCTAACTGCTCAAATGTTTGTTTTTCCAATTCTAGCCCAGTCGATTTTCCTATCACAAGTAGGTTTTAGCACTGCTTTGGTGCAAATATATTAGCTGTCTATTAAAAGAGCATGTAAGAAAAATTTACGCCCACAATGCACGCTGAAAGTAGGTCCATTTTACTGCCCAAGCTGAAGCCCTATAGATGGTACCCTTAAAAAGAGAGCTGGAAAGTTATGAACCATTACAGTTTCTACCCCAACTGAATGAGCTGGAGATCATGCTTGTCGTTGATACAGATATTCCTAGGCTGTTGTTGGCCCTGAGGGAGGCACAAGAGTTAATGGAACAGTCTGGTCACCCACAAAATAAGGTAACTGTATGTTTATTTTGAATAATACACAAAGTATAGCTGCCAGCAGAACTTCCACACGGAATCATTTTTGAGGCAGGAAAGATATTAAGGCATTCTGGCAGCTCGTTATTGAAACTTGGGTCGATTTGCTATCGTAGCCGTGAGAAGATTTACAAACTCACGGTGTACAAATTCACAGGGCACAGTAGTGTTGGGTTGGTTTTCTGCATGTAATATACGAATATAGCATGTGGTATGCACAGTCACACATGTTGTTTTAATGCTACATTTGCACCTGAGCATGAATGTTTTGTGGCTTTCAATCACACGTATACAGGTAACTAACTTGTTCTATATCTGCATCATTGTGCTCACAGTTTTGCAGGCACGTATCGTGTTTAGATTAAAGTTAACATGTCTATGGTTAAGTCATACTGAGTTATGCATTGTTAGATCTGAAGGTCACTGAAGTGCATAATGGTTAGATTATAGTTTTGAAGTACATGCCCTGTTTAGACGACTTTGTTTATTCTGGCATTGCAATTATCCCAATCAGGGTTATGTGATACAAAAGACAGAGAAGAAACCAACTGCTGGTGAGGGAAGTGAAGAGACTGAATTACTCACGTAAGTTTGCCATGAAAATGACGAGTAGGTTCCGTTGTTAACCAGCTACATCTGTGATGTTGCATCTTGGCATTTTGATTCATTTTTACAACTCAAGGCTGTTTCAGCTTTGCTTGTTTTTATTCACTGTTAACCACTTCTTGCCCGGGCAGTTATCAATGTTGATGATGCTGGGCCGGGATATTTATTCATTTTTTTTCTGTTTTCAAATTCTTTAAAAATGCCCATGTTCATTTACTGGACACTTACAAACACGTAAAGGGCTGTCTGGTGGCCCCTCTAGCTTGACAGATAAAATCTATTGACGCCCGAGTATTTCAGCCTGGTCTGCAGCCTTGTAAATAGAGCCCAGATTGTGCGATGTTATATAACTTTCTTTTGTTCATGAACCTGGCTCAGTGCGCTGATGACCTCTTTCAATAGGGGCCAGATTAGCATGCAGCGATGCTGTATGGCTCATTGCTGCAGTGGTGGAGTGCTTTTGTCCCCGGTGGTAATCTGCTCGCTGTAAATGCCCCAAACCTTGGTATACTGTTTCAAAACAAGGCTGGATTATCTCCATTTTCGAGAGTGAAAAAATGTCGGTAATGCCCAGCAGCCTGGTCTTTTGTTCCAAGTACGGTCTTTTGTTACAAGGTCCTGTTCCCTTTGTCCGAGTTCGGAGACCCCGGCCACGTATATAAAGCATACACGTCCGGATCCAGAATCCTGGCAGGAAGTGGTTAAGGTTGGTTCATACTGCAGGCGAACACAAAAGAGAAGCGAATTGACATCACAAAAACGTTTGCAGCCATTTGGTGGCCAGTTATTAACCAGCTACATATATTTTACTGTATAATAATAGCTTGCCACATACATCTGAAAGGTGATGCGGCTTATACTTGGCCATGCATTGTATGCGAATCCAATGCTCATTATTGGTGATACTGTCTTCTGTTATCCCATTGTCCCTTGTCCTTCCACTACACATGTGCTATTCTGGGTATCTGTCATCCTAAACAGTTGGCACATGTATCCTGTGTTGAATGCTCTGGAACTGGTTTACAGAATCATTTTAAAAAGATCACCTTCCTAAGCAGTGCAGTAGAAGCATGTGGGAACTATTTTCCTTTTCCTTATTTCAGGTACACTGAATATCATCCCTTCTTGTATGAGCAGCATGGGTCCAGCCCTTACATTGAGCTTGACTCCTTCAACCAGGTAAATCTCCCTGCTCTTTGTGTTGTTCTGAACTTTTGGCACATGTGTCCTTGCTTTGTTGTAAATGAGAAGCTTACAGTTTTTTTCTGATTGTTTGATTAATAGGCAGTGGATGAATTTTACTCCAAACTGGAGAGCCAGAAAACTGATATGAAAGTTCTGCAACAGGTAAATAACACAGATATTCCTTGCATTTTAATAATTTACTGTTGATTGGTATGCACCTTGTGATCAACTTTAATTTTTGCTGTGGAAATTATTTAAAAGCTCACTGCTTGAAGTCAGGGTTAGTACTTTTCATAGTTTTAGAACAATATTCAAGCATTACTCTTAAACTTTGCTCAACTCAGTGGCAAAAAGTCTTAAGGCCCACATGAAGTGACAGTTTTTCTGCATTTGATTGCAGGAAAAAGATGCATTGAGAAAGCTGGAAAATGTGAAGAAAGACCATGAGAAACGTCTGGAACAGTTGAGCAAGACACAGGTAAAAAGGGCATAGTAGAGCCAGTTCATTGTGTGGGTAAGTCTGTCATCATCAGTAAAGGGAAAGGGAAAGTTTCCAATTCTTTACGAGAGTTTGGCAGTTTTTTAAATTGCACATCATTTTAGGAAAATGCTGCAAACATAAAGAAATCACTAGAAATATTTTGGGGCTACACAAAATAATTGCTTTATGATATGTCCAAAACAAATTCCCATGGAAATTAGTTTGGCAGACAAAAGGACCGCATGGATTTTCTTGAGTAACATTTTATAAGGCTTTTAAATCTCACAGCCGTAAATACCTAAGATTGTTGAGCCTTTCCTATTGGTTGAGAGCTCGTCCTGTGGCCAGTCTTAAATCAGGGAATAAACATCTGCTTGGCTGGTCTTACATGTGCGTTTCAGACCGGCACAGGAGAATGGACTCAATTAATGCCCAAGCTGCAGGTGAGGGCATTATCAGTGTGTGTTTTCCTGAACTTGTCTTAAACAGTACTTTAACCACGTCCTGCTGGGGACTCCGGGATCGGAGACGTATGGTTTATATGGGTGGCCAGGGTCTCCGAACTTGGACAAAGGAAACAGGGCCCTGTAACAAAAGACCATACTCTGACCAAAAGACCAGGCTGCTGGGCAGTACCGACATTTTCACTCTCAAAAGTGGTGATAATCCAGCCTTGTTTTGAAACCGGCATTGAGAGCGAGCAGATTACCACTGGAGACAAAAGCGCTCCACCACCGCAGCGATGAGCCACATAGCACCGCTGCATGCTGATCTGGCCCCTATTGAAAAGAGGTCAGCAGTGCACTAAGCCAGGTTCGTGAACAAAAGACAGTTATACAACACCGCACAATCTGGGCTCTCTCGTGCAAATGGTCCAAAAGAATCGCCTTGTATGGACTTGGGAGCACACATGGCGTGTTCTGCGTGCAGTGGCCCACACCAACTCTTGACCAACAGGAATGGATTAAACTGTCTCGTATCCAGGTGTCAGTGCCTTTTTATGCAGTGGACTTTATCAAATTGCAGTGGGCATTATCAAATGTTAATACACAGTCACGTTGTGCATTGTTGAATAGGGACACTGTCTAAGGTATGTATGAATGGTTGATATAGCACTAGCTGCCTGTGTGCCACCTCTTTATAAGGAAAATATTTACGACCACTCATGAGAGGAACGTACCATAACATGGCAAGGGGGTGTTTGAAAAAAGAAGTAAACCAGTGAACAAAATCATTGGAAGTTTGTCATTTGTAAACTTGTTATGACTTTACGATTTGAAAGGTATAAATGCATGAGAAGAAAAATGTGCTTGGCCGTCCTTAAACATTTGCTTAAAGTGTAGCTGCAGTAAATGTTTCTTCAACACAATTTTTTCTGCATCTTTGTACTTTGCTTCAGTGTATGAAAACTCCTACACATTCCTATTTGGTTAAATATATTGAAAAGTGCTCACTTTTTAACACTCAAAATTATCCATTTTTTCCCGGACAACTGAGGGCGCTGTTACTGTGAAGTCATCTAGGGAAGGCATGGTTCAGTGCACAGGTATTTCTGTTCAAACTGTGAACCTAGAATTTACTAACTGAAAACATTTCTGAGAGAGGCATTGATGGTTTGTTATTGCTTTGGACATAACAGTGAATCAGCAAAGAGGAGAAAACTTAGTCTAGGAAAATCTACAAAAATGTAGGACTTTTTGGCTTACAAACCAATGTAACATTGAGGCTTCTTCCTGAGATGACATCACAGTTTTGCTTGAGAATGTGGAAATCTCATTAGCATGAAAACCAAAAAGACATTAAAAGACCCTTTGAATTAGTTAAACCAAAGTTGAAAATAAGAATTACTGAGGCACAAAGGTGAATTTTAAAGGTTTGAAATCCAAAACATTGATTGCAGCTACCCTTAAAGACTGGCCCAGAAGATTGGCTGCTGATAATGTCCCTCACCTTTGGCTCCGGCATTATCATTCCCCATTCTCCTGATTTGGTCTTAAACAAACAGCCAAGTAGGTATTTATTCCCTGATTAAAAGGTACCTTGTAATAGAGGATTCAATAAGTGATGCTGGCGAGACATTTTGTTTTGCACACTGAGCTGGGCCAATTTCTACCAAAGCTACACAAAGCAATAGCAGGCTTTCTCACTCTACGACCCTGTGTGCTTCAAATAAGCTTTTCGTCCTTTATACAACAGTTCAAAACTTTGACACAACATCATACAAGATAATGAAATGTCATGCCTTGCTCAGACCCATAATTGTTACACCTATCAATTTTTTAACTTACTTTTTGCAGGAGATAGATAAGCGGAAAGGTGAGCTTATTGAGATGAACCTCCCACTGGTAAGTGACCTTGAGGTGAATTGTATTTATTAGCAGATGTTAAATTTTTGTGGAATTGAAATTCCAGTGTTTGAGAGAAGTATCCCAGTATTTGAAGGATAGAAATAAGCATTTGCCAATAATACCTCGTCGACACAAAAAGGCATAAAACGTAAAAGAGTTCAGCCTCAAAGTTTCAAGGTAAGATAGTAAAATCCACTGCAATGCCATGGCTAATTTGATCCAAGTGATTTGCGGGATTATTGCCTTGATTATGTGGTTGTTGCCTCCCTGGCTAGTGGCTAGCTTTCCTGCTTGACTCCTCAAAAGGCCAGCCAGCTGCAACTTGCAGTTATTTAAATGGCTTTGATTAAAATGGATCCCAGCAACAACCCTAGTCATTATACCCAGCAAGATATGGGACAGAGGGTACCCCCCACATGTCCACACTCTATAGACACTCTAGACTGTTGTTACCAAACACCCCGCTCCCCAGATTCCTGAAAAGAATTCCTGAGATTGTGGTAAAACGATGACCAACACAAAGGGGGGTTCTCTCCATACTTTATCTTGCTTCAAATGTGAGTCATGATTATGCTACAAGTAGCAGACAGGATAGTAAATGACTGATTTTGAAGGGTTTCTATTAAAAGTTAATTATCCTATTTGAAGTATGGCGTACGCAATAGGACAGCACTATTTGAAGTGGGTACATATTAAAAACTAACTAGCACCCCTCCTGTTGTGTGCACCATACTTCATAGCTAACATTTCCGGCTTCTTGGTCAGTCGCTTGACTGATATGTTTTCTATCGTGTTTGGTACCAAATTGGTGGAGTACTTGATTCATAGGTAAACGCTGGTGGTACCATTGGCTGGCTAAATGTCGTCCAGTTGCCAGTATCTGTATAGAGACAAGTCAAACTTGATTGTTGCCAGTGCCTTCCATTCACCTTGAGAACAACATTGACAGGAATGAAGAGTGTACTTGCTTCTTCCAATTTATGGGCAGCTTCACCACAGGTTACTTCGTTAATGTTGCACACTAAGCTGTCTGCAATTTTAAAGTTCTCTCCCCTACAAATTTGATTGCACTCAAAGTTTATCTCAGAGGGTATCGCAAGGCCTCAGGAACTAATTCTTTGTCTCAATATTTTGTCCTCAAATCAGGTGGACCAGGCCATTAAAGTTGTCCGCAGTGCAATAGCCAATCAGATTGATTGGACAGAGATTAATAACATCATCCACGAAGCACAGGCTCAGCAGGACCCTGTTGCATCAGCCATCAGAAGCCTCAAATTGGATACCAACCATATCACCATGATGTTGAGGTTGGTTCCCATCATATCTGTTTTACACCAAGTACTTTCCTTCTCCATATTTGAATAGGTAGTTATTGTACATGTGTATTACCCACTCTGAAAGTGTGTATTAATTACAGAGAAACTGGCAAGGCTCTTTTCGTACACAAAAGAATTACTTGGGATCAATGTGAATTACTGATCAATAGTGTGTCAGAACAAACATTTTACAAACTGTAGGTATTTATTTAAGACTGCCTTGTTTGCGGACGGAGTATTGCTTACCATGATCACAATTACAACATTCTAGTATCTGAAAACATGCAAACAAGTTGGTTATCATCAGATGTAAGCAATTTTGAAAAGCCTTTAGTTGGGGTCAAGAGACTGTATTTGGTCAGTTGCGTGGACCCTAACTTTCAAACCCTATCTATTTTGTAGCTTTCAGTTTGTATGATCATAGTTTTTTGATAATAATGTGCGCTTTTGTTGTCAGGGATCCATATGAAGACCAGCAGGAAGAAGACGAGAGCTTGGAAGAACCCGCCAAGAAACAGAAAAAGAAGAAGAAAGACAAGGCTAATTACATTGACATTGACTTGGGCTTGTCAGCATATGCCAATGCCAGACGGTACATACGTCTGCCACTGATTAAAATTAACTAACTAATTTACTAATTAGATTTACTAATTATATTTACTAATTAGTAAAACAGTTTTTTCTCTAGTATTGCACTATTCAAATATGATCAGAGCATTTCAGAAAGCTGTTTGGCTTGGTTTTTTTAACAGTGACAAACCACTGAATAAGCTTCTCCCTTCCAGCCTAGAAAAACATTTTGCCTCACTGTGTTGGATTCCAGCCGTAACTCTACAAAGTATTCTACACATAAACACCCACTGCTCAAACCAACTAAAATAGGGGTGTAATTCCAAGGTTGCCTCATAACACCTCAATGCAACTTATACAAATAATGTGGTGTGAGTGGAGTTATGTGTAAAGGAATTCAGCAGCTTGTTACGTATGTGTGGATCTTGTACTAGGGCTCATTTATGGGTGACACTTGATCTTACTCAGTTTTGTACACTTTTGTTCTTGCCAGAGTATGTAAACTATTATTTACCTAGATAGCAAATTGGTTTAGGCAGGCTTACTGTACATCCTGAACATGGGCTCACAGTCCCAAATAATCACACAGTCATGGACTCCCTCTTCTGATGTACCAGTTTTATATCAGTGCCCATTTGGCTCCCAGGCCAGCCATGAATAGGCTCCCAGACCCCCGGCGAATCAGATCACACCAGAGCCAATCAAATTTGTGGCCATTACTTGAAGCACATCTAACCCTGCAAAATTACACCAGAGGGAGTAACAGACCCTGTTCAAATGGATATTGGATCGTCTTGCTTTAAGTGCTGTGATAGAATTAGAGACACATAGGGTGTATTTTCCCACCTAAACCAGCACTTGGTTCTAAAGCTACACTGTGGCCCAGAGTTGCATATAATTCAATGCGTCAATCCTGAACCTGTTACACAACCCATTAAGGTCTTCATTTTTTGATATTCTGCTTATATGCTCACTGGGATCTTTTATCCATTTTTCAAGGTTTTATGAGCAGAAGAAGTTTGCAAAGAAAAAGGAGCAGCGGACAGTGGATGCATCTGAGAAGGTATGTGGCACCCTGGATAAAGGAAGCTTTCTTATTTAACTTGCATTGTTTCACAAAGTTGTCATCGTCTAAAGAAATATCAAACAATCAGTGACGGATGAATTAGGGTTTGGAGTATTTATTTTGTAAAGCAGCTGTAAAATAGGCATCTTTCATGGTTTCTTTTATAATTCCAGGAACAAATGGGCTAAAAAAGATTAACCTGTTGACATTTCAGCTCATTGTATGGAATACTTGGTGAAATAATGCAGCTGGCATCATCTTGTCCGCATTGTGTTAAGGAAATTCACATACTGTTTGTACCTTGCACGTTTTTTGCTCATAGTGAGAATGTTTCCTCCAATTCCTCCGTTGACATTATGATATTTGATCTGTTTGGAAATAGAGTTTATTTGTTTAGCATTGAACATGGCATAGAACCTTAAGCCTGAAGAGAACTGTTTCCATTTCATATTACTTGGAGAGAAGGATTTTAGAAATGATGCATTTTTACAGACAGTATGGTAACATTCATTCACATGGAGGAATTTTGTCATGTTTTTCATAAAGGCTATCAAGTCGGCTGAAAAAAAAACAAAGCAGGCATTGAAGGATGTTGCAACAGTTGCAAGCATCAACAAGACAAGAAAAACTTACTGGTAAGAGTTGTTTTTGTTCAACATGGCAGTCTGCCTCCAACTTTGTTTTGTGCATTTATCCTTAGTTCTTAATTGGAAAACCATTGTTTGTTCTAATTGCCCTGAAAAGGAAGAAAAAAACTCACAGTGGAAACACCAGAAGAACATGATGTTAATAGGGTGTCCAGTTGACATAGACCTGTTGACGTAGATGCTGTATGCAAAATAGACCTTTTGCATGCAGCAGCCATAGTGAAGGTATGTTTGTCATGGAGCGCATATGTGAATGGATACAATTTATCTACTCATGCATATCCTGTGGAATGAAAGCATGCACTTCAAAGATGGCTACCATAGATACCTTTCCTTCATGTGATTTAAATGACTAAACCCTTCATCACCCCTGCTCGTTTACTTCTGAGATGCTCAGACATCTTCAAGTTTTGCATGTGTAATCAATGGCCTGCAGAAAAGCAAGGTTACTGTACTCTTTGAAGGATTTGTTGGGTCTGTGACAAAACATTGCTAAAGCCCTGATTGATATATTTTGCCATTTATGCAAACAATTAATGTAATAGAGAGCATCATTTATGCTCAATCACAGTGTGGCGTAGATAACTTTTGTTTGCGGAAAACTTAATGAAACAAATCAAGAAAAAGTCTAGTCAAGTCCCTTATCCAGCGAAGGCTGTTGACAACACAAGAACAGATTCCACAGAATGTTTCACTGGTACACTTACAAATTTGAAAAAGTATTTCGATTAAAAATTTTACAAACAGCAAGCACCTTTTCATAGATTTTTCCTGAATAAGACACCATTTCATCTTGATATGAGATGTCAGTTTCATTTTCGTTTAGGTTTGAAAAGTTCTACTGGTTCATAAGCTCTGAGAACTACTTAGTCATTGCTGGAAGAGACCAACAGCAAAATGAGATGGTTGTCAAGAAATACCTGTCACAAGGTAATGACAAGCAACTCCTCAATTTCCATTTCAGATTAGGTAAACAATAATGAGTACAGTGGAATGCCGCTTTAACTAACACCACTATACCAAACATTGAGGTGTTCTGAACATCCTCCATGGCTACTGAATTTCCTGTCAACTTTTACCAAAGATTCAAGATATGATTTATATCAAATGAACATGTGTAGAACTCATGATAGTAACTCAAAGTTGAGGAAAATTGCACTCACATTGGAACAGTCGATAACACATAGCGTAGCCTGTATCATTTCTAGGTAGTCCACTTTGCATGTAGGCCTTTGTGTTTGTGTCCACTAGGCAGCCGTGTAACATTAGACCAGCTGTCAAGTGCGTGTATGCAACACTGCTGACTCTGGTGCGGAAAACTTTGCCTGATCATTGCTACAAAGCCGGGAGATTTTACCTCAAAACTTGATTTCATTTTGTGACTCTGCTTGTAGTGAAGGCTCCCTGAAAGGTGAAACATGAGCAGAGTGAACATACATGTACATTTAACAAAATGCAGGAATTCCAATGTTTTACTGGTAACTTCTTTTTTTGCATACAAGTGTTGGGCCAAAATCCTCGTACTGAAACATTTTGTGGAGCAGGCCACCAAATGCTTGATTAAGCTGGCGTTGGAAATGGGTGTGTACATCTGCGACTGAAAATCACTATACCGATCGATCACATTCGTTATAGCGGCATTCCACTGTATTGATCTTCAGCATTGTGTGATGTTCTGGACGAAAGAGCTCTTACTCCAGGCCAAACCTTGCCGGACCTTAATAATATGTACCAGGAGTACAAATCTGTGGGTCTCTCTTGCATTTAGCAGTCAGTTGCAACAACATATTGCTTTTATTTCTGAGAGGTTGCCCAACCATTGCAAATGTCATTGTTGAATCATATCGCAAGATGGTCAGCAGGCTAGTAGCTTAGCCCTAGACTAATTGACGTGCTGGGTCTTGTTATGGTGTACCTGTTACTCAGTGTATCACTGTGTTTAACAGATTTTTCAGTCAAAACTATGTTGGCAGCTTAGAGTTACATTTTTTTAGAGTTGTAATTTCATTGAGCTTACATCACCAATGGGGAGTTTCAGAATGATTGCAACACTTTAATGTTCCATTAAGAGTGTTAAAAGCTACTATGTGTAATTACTTTGTTTGAAGTTAATGTGAAGCATTGATTATTCCTGATCATGACTTGTTTTCAGATGATATATATGTGCACGCAGACCTTCACGGAGCCAGTAGTGTGATCGTTAAGAACCCAACAGGGGGCCCAGTACCGCCAGTAACACTCCAAGAGGCTGGTGTGATGGCCATATGCTACAGTGTGGCATGGGATGCCAAGGTGGTGACCAGTGCCTGGTGGGTGCATCATGATCAGGTAATCGAATCTCCCACTTCTTCAGTTCTCCATTATGGGTGTGGCTAACTTCCCCCTCCCCTTTTAACATAGCCACTACTGTGTGCTGAACATGTAATGACCCACATGTAGGGCATGATGGTTTGACTGTTAACCAGAAACTTGTAGGCTTTGGTCATTAATTAAACATTTTCAATACAGAAGGATATCATGTGACCAAATGAGAATTGAATGTGTTTGTCGATTTGTCATATCTTAAAACTGAATGCTTAAAAGGAAACCAGACAGTTTTTTTCCTGTTGCAAAACTAGTTTTGAGTTTTTATGACTTTCCGGCTGCCTCATTAAGTCCTGCAGGACTTAGTTGTAGGTAGAAACCATGAAACTAAGGAAGATATTGGGAAGAATGTGTCAGAATTTTGCCTGTAGTGGACGCAAATGGTATTTGAAGCACACCGATAGATTATACAGACTGCCTGCATTGAAGAGTCACTGTTTCATAGGCACAATGGAAAGAGTGTCATGTATTGGCCCCAGGTAAAACAGAAAACAGGTTTTCTCTAAATAGACAACACCTCCTCCATCAATGGAGATGCCTGACCATTTGAAGGTCATTTAAAATGTAATTAGTGCGAGCCCCCATTTACTCTGAAGTATTAGAGACCCCAATCAGATTCAACTAAAAAGAGTTCTTGTGAACAACAGGTGATGACTTTAAAGATCCTTATGCGTAACAGGGAGCCATTTTCTGCCATGGTCTATGACTATGATGGCACCTTTCCATATTTACCTTTTAGGTCAGTTCCACATCTGTATCTATGTACTGTATTTCACTGCTGCCCAGTTTGAATGAACACTCACTCCTCCAATGGACTCAGGGCACACTGAAACACACCTTTGGAAAGGCACCTTTGGAAAGGCACCTTTGGAAAGGCACCTTTGGAAAGGCACCTTTGGAAAGGCACCTTTGGAAAGGCACCTTTGGAAAGGCACCTTTTAGACTTTGCAATCTTTTTGTTACAGGTTTCCAAAACAGCCCCCACAGGAGAGTACCTGACAACTGGTAGCTTCATGATAAGAGGTCAGTTTAACACAACAATTTGTGAGATGATCGGACTCAAAGCAAACTGAACTAACTTTGGAAGGAGACTTGGTGTGAAAATTTCATTTGGAATGTGAAGAAACAAGAATGAAAATTTCACAAAATGCAGCATTTCCATGTTGTTCATTTTTAAAAAAATCTTTTTTATGCTTGAGTTTGTAAGGTTTGCCAAAATGCCTAAGGGAGTCACTACAATTCATGGGCCACACGTTTGAATGGGATGGGGGGTTGTGGGCATGAACAGGTGAAAAGTGCTGTACTGAATTAATCAATCTATTGTGAACTTTTCAGGTTTTAGCAACATTGTACTGTATCTCTATTGAATCCTATCAAACTTGTTGCTTACTTCTTTCCTGCAGGTAAAAAGAATTACCTGCCACCAGCACAGCTTATGATGGGTTTCGGTTTCATGTTCAAGGTTTGTCATCAAATGAAGGACAATGTGCAGAATTTGTTTATGCATTGACATTTCTGTCAGTTTGGGCATTTCTTTTCCCTAAAAGGAGCTAGATAATATATGCCTAGATTATTTCCATATCAGTAACAATAGTAGTGATAATTAATTCTTGGTAAAAAAAATTGCTGTTCATGGCATCACACAGACTACAAAGGATTATGAAGAATGTGGCCGTAGGCTGTTATACAGAAGATATTGGGATGGGTTTCATGACCTCAGAATTGAATTTCATGTTGTACTTGTTATAACCGTAATGTTTTGTCATACCACATGAAGCTGACTAACATAGAAATGGAGATCCTTATAACTCCATGTCTACCCATTTCGGTCTCTTTGTTTTGTCACATGGCTGTGCATTTGAAAAAATGCCATTTAATGTCATTACAGGTAGATGACTCGTGTGTCTGGAGGCACAAGGATGAGAGGCGTGTGCGCGGTGTTGAAGAAGATGACATGTCCCTGGCTGACAGCTCTACAGTACGTAATAAGCCTGTGCAAAACACTGTATCCACCAGGAATAAATCTGTCATGGCAAAAACATGCAGCCATCTGACTTGAAGCATACTGTTAAGAACAATCGACTTAGGGTATCGCCATGCTGATGCAGCCATCTTGAAGAGTTTAGTGAATGGCCACTTCTGTGATGACCAATTAGGGTTTCCAGGTAGAAACCCTAAAACAAGAAAACATTGTAGTTAAAGATGTGAACTGTATCACCACCTACATGTGGGAGGTTATATGAATGGAAGGATGGTTTGTCAGTTTTCTATGAATGACTGAGCACCACTGATTCTAAATTCAAGTGCTAAAAACCTTGTTTTGCAAAAAGAACAAATTACCGACAAGATGAGATGAGGCAGTGGGCATGATGAAAGCTTTGATAATATTTTGTTTCCCTTTCATAGACAAATGAAGCCATTTAGAACAACCTGTGGTTATTGTAAAGATAGCTCTCTCATTCCAAAATGCTTTCAAAACAGAAAGAGCATTGGCTCACATGTTTTGTCAGTGCTATACTTAGAAATTCTAAGCCATTTTAGTGCAACCGCCTTTTGCTGATGTTCTGTATGCAAATAGCTCACTTCTTGAGCAAGTAATACACCTATAAAAATTTAATCATGTTCTCTTGTTTTTTTAAGTGGGGGTAAGCAGTAAAATTCTATTTTAATTCAAGACTAATTAGCCATGGGTTATGTTGGTTCGAGTGCAAATGATGGAAAAGGTAACATCAAAAGTGACAAAAGCAACACTCATTTCTCACTTACAAAAATAAAAATACATGTAATTAAAAATACTTATAATTTATGATGTAGTCTCGATAACATACTGTATTCAGCACTGTGGAGCCACCTCATAAGTGACAAGTTAGAGTCAATTACCCCTGTAGTGGGTTACGTGACCCAAAGTGTATAAAACCAATTTTTCAGTTAGCCTGCGTACTGATGACATCACACTTTGCTCACATGTGCACTTCTCTGTGGAGCTATGAATATGTTTCCCCTACCAGATTCCCAAAGTGGGACGTCATCAGTGCAGAGTTCTGTTGAGTGGGGATTCTGTACACAAGTGCCCCCTCACTCAGTGACTGTGGGAGAGGCTGAGCCGAAACCTGAATGGTGCTGTTGCTTTGCCTGTGCACAGACCCTACAGGTTGGGAGGGTGCGCTCTGGTTGTCCTGAACCAAAAATTGGTTCAGATGTTTCTCTTTTGTCGTTTGGATAACTTGAGTGCTGTATTTTCACATGCAATTTTGGCCAAGTTCAAATTGCCAAAGAAATTCACCAACAGTAAACAGCCAAACCAAGTTTTGGCTAAAATAAAGCACGTGTGAATATTGTATGTCCTTCTCAGCATGCACAAATACAGTATTCCAGCCCTACAGACCGTCAGTGTTAAGTTGCAGAGTGAATTCTTGTTCACATAGAGCCCATTACTGTCAGGCCTTACTGTGGAAGAAGTAATCAGTATGGGCTCATGAAACTGGCCCCTGTTTAAGGAAATATCCATCGGATTTTCATATTTTTTCTTTCACCGAAATGAGGGCCAGAAATAGGCAATGTAATCAGTAGGACCTTTGTAGTTGTTAACAGTAGACTTAAGATGGCAAAAATTTGTTAGTAGTTTCCCTGCTTCACAGGTTGATGGCTCTTTTGATGAAGAGATACAGCTAGCAGATGACAGCGATGATAGCATTGACAATGACAGCAGGAATGGAAAAGAGGACAGTCAGGCTGGTAAATGACAAAGAACTTATTCTTTCCCACACTGTTCAAGCCGCCTTAAACAACAAAAGATAAAAAAAGCGTTTGATTCTATTCAAATTGAGATGGAGGTAAATTTTATGGTATTCCACACTTTCAAATTAACCACTTTATGCTGGAGAAAGTGTAAAAAGAAAACCTGCAGTGATACTCTGGGACACAGAAGCATGCTTTGTAAGTGTCCATGCTTATTTATAGCAATGGGTGACATGCAAACATACCCATGTTTCACTGGTCTTGATTACCTTCAAAGAAACTGCTTTGATGGGACACTTTTCAGGAATTTTGGACTGGATTCAAAAGGCAAAGCTACAGCAACTGAAAATGACTCTTGAGAGTATTTGTACTTGAGGCGTGTGGCTTCATATTGAAATTTAGCCGATACATTTTCAGCCTTTCTTGTACCAGAAGTCTATCAGCCCAAAATAATCCTTGCACTTGAGGCTACGGCCTCCTATATTTTTGCATTATGGTGTCGTCCAATGGTTCTGGCATTTGACTCGCGCAAATGATCTGTGGGTTTGAATTTCACATAGGTACCCACATCTCTTTACTGCAGTTGGGAACCAGTGAGGGTGGAGATTAGATTGCACTTATCCTGAGCTGATACAGAAAACTGTTCACTTAATCACATCCATATTCATCAGGGTGGCAAACAGTCATGCTCTTTCAAATTCATTTGAAAAAGTAGTGATTGTCAAAGGGTTGGACTAATGTTGTGTGGAGTCTAGTCACAAATCCCCCATTGCTGAACTGTTTTTGAGGGATACTCTTGGAAATAGTCTTATTATTGTCCATGGTGAGAA